ATTTGCATAAGGATACGCTGATTAGCCAATGGGAAGGGTAGCGGTCGTATGCCAATTACCATGTTTCTCTTTTATTAGTGTAGATTAATCCTCCATAAAAAATCTCTAAAGCACAGGGTTCAGAGAGCTTCCAGGTTGGTGAATGCATGAAGATGCTAGAGAGTGGCATGCTGAAGAAGACTTGAAAGCTTTGTGTTCCTTCCCCCATATCTTTCCCTATGTATCTCTTTCATCTGGCTGTCCCTGAATTTCATCCTTTTATAATAAACTGGTAATCTAGTAAGTAAGCTGTTTTCCTGAGTTCTGTGAACCATTCTAGCAAATTATTGCACCCAAAGAGGGGGTGGTGGGAATCTCCAATTTATAGCCAGTTGGTCAGAAGCACTGGTGACAACTTGGATTTGCCATTGGTGTCTGAAGTGAGGGGAGGGATGCAGTCTTGTGAGACTGATCTCTTAACCTGTGGGATCTGCACCAACCCCAAGAAGACAGTGTCAGAATTAAATTGCATTGTAGGACACCAAGTTGGTATTTACAGAGAACTGGATAATAGCTTGGTTTGGAGAAAACCTCCACACATCTGCTATCAAAAGTATTGAGAATAGAGTGTTGAAAAGAGAAACAGAGGGATAAAAGTACACTAAAATATAACCTAAGCTTCCAACTTAAGAAATGAGAAAAAGAACAAAATAAAATCTAAGCTTGCAGAAGGAAGGATAAAAAACCCAACAGAAAAAAATCAATGAAATAGAAAACAGAAAAACAATAGATAAAATCAATGAAGCTTAAGACCTTGAAGATACAAATTACCACATTCAGGAAGAAAGTGGGGACACCATTACTGACTCTACAGAAATTAAAAGGATTATAAGGGAATATTATAAGCAACTTTGTCCCAACAAATTAGACAATTTCTATGAAAGGGGAAAATTCCTTGAAAGATGCAAATTCTTAGAAAGACACAGATACCCAAAGACAATAGAAAATCTGAATAGGCCTATACCAACTAAAGGAAATGAGTTAGTAATTTAAAATTTTGTCATAAAGAGAAGCCCAGGTCCATATGGCTCTGCTGATAAATCTCATCAAATATTTGAAGAAGAAATGATACGAATCTGCACACATTATCAGAATATACAGGAGAGAACACTTCCCCACTCATTCCTTGAGACCAATGTTACCCTGATACCAAAGGCAGATAAAGACCACACATAAAAAAGAGTCTGCAAATATCCATCATGGAGATGAATACAAAACTTTTTAGCAAAATATTACCAAACCAAATTAAACAATATGTATGCCATACCTAATGAATATTTATTTAATATCTGAAAGTCAACTAATGCAATACACCATATTAATAGAATGAAAGACAAAAACCACATGATCATTTCAGTAGACATAGAAAACCATCTGAAAAAATCCAACAACCATTCTTCACAAAAACTCTCAGCAAACTAGGAATAGAAGGAAACTTGTATATATGCCCTTTACCTAACAAAAATTACCCTTAATTACTGAACACTTTCCTTCCAAGGATTAGAAATAAGACAAGGAAGTCTAGTGTTACAACTTCAGTTCAACATTGTCTTGGGAGATTCTAGCCAGGGCAATAAGTGGGGGAGAGAAACAGAGGGATAAAAGCATTCAGAAAAGAACTCCAAAAGAGAAAATTAAACATGTTTTTATCCATAGATAATATGATATTATATGTAGACATTTCTAAGGACTCAACCCTCCCCCCCCCAAAAAAATATATATTAGAACTAATACATAATTTAGCAAAGTTGAAGGACATTATATATAAACTAGAGGCCCGGTGCACGAAATTCTTGCAGGGGGGGTGTCTCTCAGCCGGCCTGCACCCTCAGGGGATGTCCGACTGCCGGTTTAGGCCCAGGGATCGGGCCTAAACTGGCAGTCAGACATCCCTCTCGCAATCCAGGAAGCTGCATTCACCACTGACCATACTTTTCATACAGATGAAAGGCATCTTGCTGTTGTATGGGCAACCACAAAATGTGCAAGCCAGAGTCCATGCATGTCATCGCTGCATCATCCTTTTTTTTCAGTGTTAGAGTAGCCTTGCCAGGTTTTAATTTTTAAATCTAAGAGACTGTTTCCAATATATAGGGTAGGGTCCCTAGGCCTGGCCAGCGATCAGGGCTGATCTGTGGGGCAACCGGCTGGCGGGGCAATGGGGGGCCCCCGCTGGCACCTGCCTTGGCTGGTGGCCTGGCGCCGCCAGCTGGCCGTCCCCATCCCCTGATCACCACTGCCGCTGCTGCTGGTCGCCTCACTCTAGGGGAGCAGATGCTCAACGCAGGAGCTGTCCCTGGCGGTCAGTGCATGTCATAGTGACCGGTTGTTCCGCCAGTCGTTCTGCTGTTAGGTCTATCTGCATATTAGGGTTTTATTATATAATATTGAAAGACAGTTAATATAAAATAGCAGTGGTAAAATCCTGATTCATTTCTGTGTGCTTTTCCTACCCTTGATTGAAGAGACAACTTTTCTGAGCTCCAATGAATGATTCCATAACCATCCATTTAAGAAGAAAAAGAATAATTGGGATTTTAGAAATTCAATTTTACATAATTACCACCTGAAAAATAATTATTTCCCCATTATCATGTTTGCAGAGCCTCTACAGAGATAAAAACAAGTACCAAAATTATTGTTGCTAACAGCTGATGATCTATAGCATCGTTAGAGGCAGGTGGTGCCATTAACAACACCTTCCCCCCACCACTCCCACCCCCAAACACAGGCTTCAAGAGTTCCAAGATCTCTTTGTGAATCTTACCACTCTGTATTTAGAATTCAAGGGCTGCAGGACATCCCCAAAATTCTTGCCTATTGGTGCTCTATCCACGATATTAGGAATTAATGGCTTTATCAGATCTTTGAAAAATGGAGGCTCTGGACCTCTGCTCAGATTGGCCACTGTGTCCTAGAACAGAGAACATTTGCTTAAGGAGTGCACAACATAGAGACAAAGACTCTTTCCCAAGTTCCCCATCCCCAGAAATACCTTCATTAAAGAAATCTACCCCCGCTCCCTCAATCTCTCCCTCTCTCTCTTTCTCCCTTCAAGAGCTAACTACTTTAACAAAATGTGAGGGGCACCCCTGCTAAAATGTGAGCCTAGATGTGCATAAGGTAAACTTCTGTCACTAAAAGACAGTTTTGGTCGTAGGCAACACTTTCACTTCCCTAAGCAGCATGGTTCAGTGACCACAGTGTAAGCTTGGAAGCATGTTACACTCTTCAGATTCCAGGAGAGCCGTTTTTCAAATGTGTGACTTTGAACAGGAGTCTAACACATGATAAGCTTTTGTAACATGACACTGTAGTTAGTCTTTTAATTTTTACAAAGTGTTGAACCTCTCTTATTCAGAATCAGTACCAAGTTTTTTTTCTAAATCCTCCACTGTGCTGATTAAAGAATATAACAAATACATTTTTAATTTAAAAGTTAAGACCAGCCGATATCCCAACTGGTTTAATGTGTTTTCCACAAAATTTGCCACCTTTAATAATGTCATCAAAATGTTAACTTCAAATTTTAAATAGCCCCCATATGGATTTAATATACTTTCATAATCACTTTATATATTTAATTTTTATAGCAGCCATATAATCTATTATCACTCCCATACTATGAATGAGAATATAAGCTTGGAGTAGTTTTTCAAGATCGCATAGCCGAAACCGGTTTGGCTCAGTGGATAGAGCGTCGGCCTGCGGACTGAAAGGTCCCAGGTTCGATTCCGGTCAAGGGCACATACCTTGGTTGCGGGCATATCCCCAATAGGAGATGTGCAGGAGGCAGCTAATCGATGTTTCTCTCTCATCGATGTTTCTAACTCTCTATCTCTCTCCCTTCCTCTCTGTAAAAAATCAATAAAATATATTTAAAAAAAAAAAAGATCGCATAGCTAGTCTTAGGTACATAACCATAAAACTGTGAAACATTTCCACAAAATGATTCACACTTTTCTTCCTAAATACCACTCTAAAATTTGAAGACTCTATTTCCATAGGAAGAGCTATAGACCTATGATAACAATGAAAGTTAAACAGTGGTTTTCTCTATGGATGTGTTATAAGTTTATACTTTTTCTATGTAATCTGAATAATCTACAAATAGTTATAGCTTCTATGATGAAAAATAAAATAGTTCTACTTTGAAAAAATGTATCAAAGCTCAAATTAAGAACCTTATGATGAAACAATAATCAAAATTATATCCTAATACCTTGTATTGAAACTTCAAACACACACACAGTAAGCAATTAATTAGATGGAGGCATATGAAATTGCCAGTATTCAACTACAGAAACAGTAATTTCATTTGTCTCAATTAATAAATCCAAGCTCTTCCTTTAAAAGGCCTTTACTGTCTTTGCTATGCCATAATTGTTTTACACTGTCCTGGGGCTCTTATGGTATTATACAATAGTGGTTACCACCATCAAAAGACATTTACTAAATCCAAATTTACTCTCTGTTCCATTTCTTAGGAATACCTCATAGCTATATATATATATGTATATATATATATAAGGTTTTTTTAAAAAAACTGAACACTCACAGCTAAAGTTCTTATTTTGCTTCCCTCTGTATCTCCCCACCTCTGAGACACACACGTGTACAATTTTTGATTACCGTAGCAATGGCCTTAGCAAGGCCTCTGTAGAGCTGGATGTAAGCAGACAGGGTGTGTGGTCCATAAATTGTAGATGCTGCCTCATACCGCTGAACCTGCAGGAAAGGCAAGGCCATGTTGTACACAGCTAAAGTTCTTATTTTGCTTCCCTCTGTATCTCCCCACCTCTGAGACACACACGTGTACAATTTTTGATTACCGTAGCAATGGCCTTAGCAAGGCCTCTGTAGAGCTGGATGTAAGCAGACAGGGTGTGTGGTCCATAAATTGTAGATGCTGCCTCATACCGCTGAACCTGCAGGAAAGGCAAGGCCATGTTGTACACCATTCTGCTTCTTTCAATCCACTTACAGAGGTGTCACACTTAGGTGAGGGGTAGTGCTCAGACATCGTGTGTAATTCAAACTGGCACAAATCAAGATTAACGATGACAAAGGCAGGGGGAGGAGGCATTTTCACTTACCAGCTAAAGTACATGGCTCCCATCAACTACATGCTAAAGTAGCAGTGGCTCCTCATGGCTTGTGCCATTTGGCCTTGTCAGTCCATTTAATCTGAATGTAGATACTAGCTCCCGCACTTATGTCTATTTTAAGTAGTTGTAATAGAAATGTTTTCCCCTGAGGAGCATAGCAGGAGAAAATTTTAACCTGCCATAGAGCTATAAAATAGAACCAAATACATCTCCTTTTGCCTGAGCTCCAAGCCTTTGGTTGTTCCCCAGAATCCTCAAATTCATCAGATTTAAAATAAAACTCCTCACTCCAAACACACCAGCTTTCCCTGCGATGTTCTTCATCTCAGTGAAGGCCAGCCTTCCTGTCTCCCGCGCCAGGACCAGCTGGCCGGCATCAGGTTCCTCTCCCCCATCCTACCTCCTATGAGTCTCCAACTCCTCATTCCTTAAAATCTCCTGACTCCTTTCATTTTCCTCTGTCTCTACTGCTTTTACCTTGGCCAAACGCTTACCTCTCACCCCAATTGCTACAGCTCCTTAATCAGTTCTGTCTCCACACTTGCTCTTTGGATTCATGTTCTGCACTGCCATCCTCGTGACCGTTCTAAGTCACAAATTTGATAAGAACATTCCTTTGAGTTCTACAGTTCCCCAAAACCTTCCTTCTTGAGGCAATGCTCTGTAGCATAGCATAAAAGACTCTTCACTAACCCCTGCCTTGCACTCTAGCCCCTGTCTCACTACGCTTATCATGGAACTCAACTAATCATGGCCTCTTAAATGTACTGTCAACCCCTCTGGACATTTGCATATGTAGCTCCCTCCATTATTAAACACCTCCCCTAACTTTTATTTGCCAATTAGCCCTTACTCACTCTCAAGAACTCAGACAAATGTTACATCTTCCAAAAATCTGCCAGTCCCCATGCTCAAATACTTAGTCTAGATGGGTGCTCTTTCTCACTCTCTCTCTCTTTTTTTCATACACTTTGTGCATCCCTTTCACAGAAATGTAATCATCTGCTTTCTTCTCTTTTACTTGACCATAAATTCTAGTGGTCTTGAGGACAGGGGCAGATTCTTATTCATTTTTATGCCCAGATAGTGGCTACTACTGCATGTCTCAACACATACCTGTTGAATGAATGAGTGAATAAATAAATTAACTAATTAATACCAATCCTTGCAGGAGCATGTCCCTGAACCAGGAGATAAGCTTGTATTTGTGCCATGAACTCCTTTGATCATCTACTGAGGCTATGGGCCCTTCTCAGATTAATATTTATAAGTGCATAAAATAAAATGCATGAGTTGACAAAGGCAACTAATTAGAATGAAATACATTAATCAAGCACTAATAAACCAACTTTGTGATAAATAATGTTTGTGCTTCTTTATTGAACAACAAGATTTAGCAACAAATTTAATCACTACTGTGATTTTAAAATAGGGATGAGAGTAAAAGATATTCCCAGATCTTAAATAATGGTGTGTGATATTAAAAATATCTGTGGTTCCTATTGGTGACAAAGTCAGAGATACTGCTAATATTATTGTCATTTGTCACCTGTATTCATAATTGGAGGAAATGCTAAATAATAAATAGTTACAGATAAATAAAAAATGAGTAAATGAAAAAGCATTCCCATTCAAATTTACCCCAATTAAGAACCTTTATTCAACAGGATTTCCTAGAAGGTGGGGCCCTCTGATAAAGTCAACAGAGGGCATGAAGCAGATTCCACTGCTAATATCACTGAACATTTGCCACGGGGTAGACTACATGCCTGGGTATGGACTACAAACACATTAGAAAGCATTAGTTGCTGGACTCTAAACTATTCTCATGTTTTTTAATTACTATTGTTAAAAAGTACTTGGACTACTTTCTGTACTATTTGTAAACAAGGAAACATCACCAACCAGCAGCCTCCCCTCAATTCTCTGTGACTCTGTTGCTTAGTCTAAACCAGTGGTCGGCAAACTCATTAGTCAACAGAGGCAAATATCAACAGTACAACGATTGAAATTTCTTTTGAGAGCCAAATTTTTTAAACTTAAACTATATAGGTAGGTACATTGTTATTAACTTAATTAGGGTACTCCTAAGGCTCAGGAAGAGCCACACTCAAGGGGCCAAAAAGCCGCATGTGGCTCGCGAGCTGCCGACCACGGGATACCATCTATAATAATAAAAGCATGATATGCTAATTAGACCAGATGACCTTCCAGATGAAGCCAGGGCTGCAAAGGAAGCCCGGGTCTCAGGTGCCAGAGGGAAGCCAGTGCCAGCAGCAGGGGGAAGGAAGGTCCACTCTTGCACAAATTTCGTGCATCGGGCCTCTAGTGGATATAATAATATCTTGCTGCAGGGCTTATTATGAGGATTAGTTAAGATCACATTTGCAAGGTGTTCAGCTAATGCATTCAATAAATGGTAACCAGCAGTGGGAGCATTTCAAGGTCCTACACAAGCTTAAGGCACCAGAAGCATGAGGGACAGAGTTAGGAATGCTGCGTGCCACAACCCAAACTTACAACATGGGCTCCTGACAAAATAACTTATTTCAGGAAAAGTGAAAGTCAGTGAGACTAGATTTCTAACCTGAACTTGTAAATGGTCAACCTAGAACCACCAAACACAACTTCTGGCTTATCATTCTCTTATCTGTCCTAAAACAACGTCATCTCTCAAAAACATGATTAAGTAAGTCTAGAAAGAAAACCTGCATTTAATACAATAGTGTTGGCCAGGGTATATTTCACTTAAATAATAAAGACGTTTTACTTTACCTGGTATTCTTCATAGGTGGCAATGTAATGTGTATATACATTGCACAGACCTGAAATAACAACAGTCATATTCTGCATCCCATAAGTTGCAAACTCCTGGGAGGGGGGAAGAGGTAGAGCCCAGTTAAATTACTCTTCATCTTAAAGTTTATTATAGTCCCAGTTATACTGAACCACAGATATAACTCATTAGTGTAAGATGTCTCTCTTAACAATATTCTTCCTACTGATCAAAACTGCCTGAGAATGCAGAAGTATCAGAGAGTCCTGGATAAAAGTTAGAGCCATAACTCTGTACTATAGTTGGACAAATCAATGGATCTGTGAACATCTTAATGATTGCATTTGCAGATGTAGAATCTTATTACTAAAATAAAGATATTTTATTAATTTCCTATAAAAGTATAATGGGAGGTTACTAGCTAATGACAGTAGCTATTCCCAGGCCCAAGTAATAAGGCATTTGCTGATTATGACATTTTAGAACCATTTACAATACTTCCTCAATATAAATAAAATCATAATTATAAATAAAACACATAATTATCAGTATGTATTAGATTTTATTTAGATAAGACTTTAAGATATTAAGATACTCAGGGTTTATTTATCATTTAATCCATAAAACCATTATTAATTTTTAAATTATTAATACATAAATATCAATAAAATGTTTTAACCTGACTATAGTTCCCTTATATTTTTTAACTTAGTCTTATAACACCAATATTTCATATTTACCTCTAGCCATTACTTTAAGAAGTGTAAATCTCTAGTTATTTTAGCAAAGATTAATTTAAAAGGTATTAGATCATATAGCTAGAGAATTCTCTTCACCAAATATAAATGCATAGATGTTATTTTATTTTTAACTTACTGCTTTAATTGCCTCCCGAAGTCTTCGTCCAGACATGGTCCTGAGTGAAGAAAACAGAATTATCTAAGTGTTTTCCTACTTAGAAGGTGTGCAAAATGACATGTAGTAAAAGAAAAAATGTTATCCTGACTCATTACACAATCATAAAGTATGTAGGGACTCTGACAAAGCTAAGCTAAAGGTGAGCCTTTTTCCTGGCTGTCATATCTTCAAAACAAATTCTAAAATGAAAACAGATAACTTGAAGGAGGGAAAAAGAATCAATAAATATCACTAGCAAAAGATCACAATCATTTTCCATTCATTGATTCAACAAAATATATTGGTTATGTTCTTTGTTAGTAAGAGCTAAGGCAAGTAGAGAGTATATTGTTCCTGCCACAAAGAATTTACTATTTTATTCATTAATTTAATCCTTCATAAAACTCTGAGCACCTACTACATACCAGGCCTACTTCTAAATACTAAGGATTAGCAGTGTGGAGCTAACATTGTAGGGAAGACAGAGGGTCAATAAGCAAATTAAAAAGGGAGATGACAATAAGTGCTATGAAGAATATAAGGTAGGTTAAAGAATGAAAGGGAATGGTGGTGTCATTGTGGTGGTGATGGTGGTGCTGATGCTGTAGTGAGGTGGCAATGGTGGTGGTGGTGGTAGTGGTGGTGGTGGTGGTGGTGCTGATGCTGTAGTGATGTGACAATGGTGGTGGTGGTGGTAGTGGTGGTGGTGGTGGTGGTGCTGATGGTGGTGGTGCTGATGCTGTAGTGATGTGGCAATGGTGGTGGAGGTGCTGGTGCTGATCCTGTAGTGATGTGACAATGATGGTGGAGGTGCTGGTGCTGATGCTGTAGTGATGTGGCGGCGGTGGTGGTGGTGGTGGTGCTGATGGTGGTGGTGCTGATGCCGCAGTGATGTGGCAGCGGTGTTGGTGGAGGCGGTGGTGGGTGAAGACAATGTTACATAGTATAGGCAGGACTGGCATCTCTGTTAGAGCTCTGAGCAGAGAACTGAAGGAATGTAAGAGTTGGCCATGGGGATTACTGGAGCACAAGTGTTTCAGGGAGACGGAACCATAAATTCAAAAGACAGAAGCATGCTTGATGAGTCTGGGAACTGCAATGAAGCCGAAGTGGCTGAAGCAGGGGAGAGAGGGGAGAGTCGGATGAAATCAGACCAACGAGCGTAGCTAAGATCATATAGTGCCCTTAGGCTATTGTAAGGGTCTGAGGATTCACCTAGAGTGAAATGGGAAGCCAGTGGAGAGTTTTGAGCAGGACATGGCTTAACTTGTGTTTTAAAGGGCTTCCTCCAGCTGTGGTGTTGATAAAACACTCTAGAGAAGAAAGGGAGGGAGCAAGAAGGCAAGACAGGGAGAAATAATGGTTGCTTGGCAGGGGGTGGGGGAGAGGGGGAGGGACAGGGGACAGTAATAGAAAGTATTGGGAAGAACATACAGAATTTGCTGAAGGATAGAAAGTGAGGGAAATTGAAAAAGAAAGAATTCAGGGATGACTCCTAGACTTAGGCCTGAGCCACAGGAAAGCTATACACTTGCCTCTTACTAAGATAGGAAAGACTGCGTGAGGAGGAGACTTAAAACATTCTTTCATGCTTTTAAAACCTAAAGTAATTATTTCAAGGGTCTGTATTTTAATATTACGTCAAGTCTTTCTACTGACATCACAATTCACATCATTTTAATTTGGAATGATATGTTTTCAAATGTTTATGTTTGCTTCAAGTTACACACTAGTAACAAGCATAGAGAGGGTTATTCTGCTGAGGTCCCACCACCAGAGGGTGGGAATATTTGTCAGCGATGCCAAATATAACACGGTGAGATACAAAGGGGTCAGTGAAGAATTACCTGCCCATGATAAGTGACCCCAACAGAAACACATATACAATAACTACCTTTTTCTTAAAGTTGCAATTCTTTTTTAACCCTCACCGGGGAATATGTTTTTATTAATTTTGAGAGAGAGAAAAGGAGAGGGAGAGAGAGAGAGAGAGAGAGAGAGAGCGAGGAAGAAGGAGTACACTGTCAAAGACTAGACTATTTGGTGGTAGGTTTGAGACATTATAAAAAATAATAAAGCAATTAAAAGATAGGTGGAAATGTCACAAGTCATTATTCACATGATACCCTCCTACCAGTAAGCTGCATCTGACTCTCTCTAGTTCCTTGGATAAGGCCCATATACAGGTGGGTTTGAGGTAATCAAGTCTTTATTCCTTTGAATGGCTGCACTTGACCAGCTAGTCTAAAGAAAGAGAGTGCCAGTGGGCCTGAAGTCAGGAAGAATGGGGGGGGGGGGGGGGGGCTGAAAGAGAGAGATCGGTTGTTTTCCATCTAAGGATCGAACCCAAAACCTACGTCTGTGCCCTGACTGGGAATCTAACCCAAACATTTTGGAGTAGGGGACCACCTGGCCAGGCCACAATAATTACATTTTTTAAACTACAAAATGAAAAAGAAGGACTTACGTAAGCTCCCCAGGGATAGCAGTTATGGCCAAGGACCCAAGAGTAATGATCTGAACGTCAACAATATCCGGGTGCCAGGGATGAGGTTTGGACAGCTAAGAACCCAAAATATGAACACTGTGTTAGGAATATTATTCTTTCTATGATCAAGCGACCTGTGATGATCACAGAAGTTTATTGAAGGATGCAAATGTTTCCAGCTGCTTTTGGTGTCTCCTGCCACCATAGATTTTATTTCTAATTCATGATATAACATTAAATGTTTTATCTAGTCATAACATGTTAATCTCAAACGCCAATGCCCCATTAACCTGGACGTATTTTCTCATCAATGATGTCTGGTGGATCTGTCAGTGTGGAATCACAATGTGCAACCGAGGACCAAGGACCTACTAGAGCACAGTGGTGACTCTCCTCGTACACAAAAAATAAGTAACTCGATCATTTGGATTAGCTTCACTTAATAACTTCTTACTCTAAAAGCACTTCAAATTTTCAGTTACTTTCCACCTTTTCTCCAAGAAAATCTATCCTTTTCCGTACTCACATTAGTGTAGAATCTTTCCCTCTATTCCTTCCCTTTCCTCTCTTTCTTCTGCCTGAAGAATTTTAATTGAATATTAGGGGGGGAAAAACTCTATTAAATTGTTTTCTACATCAACAGTTCATATTATAAACACTGGCATCGCACTTTGACATTTAGAATGTGAAAATCCATGTTCCAAAGGAATAGGAAAAGAATGTTGCTTTAGTTAATAACATTGCCTGGCTTGTGAGAAAACGGAGACATGGACATGTTCCTTGTTATAGGGACTGCGATGCTCTTCTCTACAGAGAATTCTGTGTGAACTCCTATCCTTAGGGTAACATAATGAATCTTAAGTAAGACAACTGTTATTTTTATTCTTCCTCTCTCTGGGTTCTTATTGTTCCAGTTATTTATCATAAATTCAAAGTTACAATATTAAATAATCATACCCCTTATTTTTTAGACTCATGGCATCCATACTTTTGACATTAAATATTTTGATGTGGGAATATCTGAGTAAGACCTCCCATGCCAATACAGGTATACCATTGACATCCGACAATTCATACATTTTAAAAAGCAATACACTAATTTCACCGTGATAACAAAAAATGCTTTACCTCGCCAGTGTGAATAAGGACGGGCTTTGGTTTCTGACACTCTTTCATTTCATCAGAGGGCCTGCCGAAGAGCTGATCCCGAAGAGTGTCCCAAAATGGATCTGATACTGTTGTCCCTGTTAGGAATGTTTTAATTGATATGACTCCAATCCTCTGGAGAAAATGTCATCATTTTGACAGCTGTTGTACAACAATGCTTTCAGGAGTCTCAGAGATTTCACTAAGATTGTTATTTAATGATTCCAAGACAGTCTGAATAATAGAAGAAGCAAAATTTCCTGTGCATCCTAAAATAGGAGCCATTATTTAATTAGATCTTCAGTGTGGTTGATAGAATAAAAGAATATATTTTGCTCAACATCCTTGAAGTTTTGTTTCTATTGCTCCTTCTCTTCCACATTTCAAGTAAAAACAGTATGGCACAATTCACTGTAGACTTTCCATTTTGAAAACTAAAAACGACACCTCCAATTGGAAGTGTTAGTTGTTAGGCTTGGGATCCCTGAAAAAGCCTCTCTTGAATCCCCACTTACTTATCTACACACATACCCACAATCAGGAAAAAACCAAAACCTCGCCTAAGATCCATAATCTGGGGAAATTTTATGTTAACTACAAAACCTATCGACTTAGAATCTATAATCCATTAGGAAAATATAACAATTATAAACGCATGTGGGTCGAATAAAAGAGCACCAAAGTACATAAACCAAAGCCTATTATTACAATGAAATCAGGATAAAGTTATAAAACCTAAAACAATCAGTTATAAATTAAGGAAGATCCTGGAAACACACACAGGAAGGGGACCTGGGACCACACGCGTTAGGCTCCTCAAGGCCTCTACCCTGAGGAATTCTGTCTTCAGTAACGGGATAAGGAAAAGAGACACTAGTAACCAATTGGAAGAGCCGATTCATGTTGTGGAAGGTACAATGACAACTCCCTCCTGCACCCGCCAACCGCGCCCGCCCCCCCGCCAGCCCAAGCACAATTTAAAATTATTCACCCACAGACTAAAACACAAAGAGGATTTGTCTCTGATTCTACTTGAATGCGTGGAAAGCTGAGTGACGGAAGACACCCGTCCCTGGGAAATGTGGTTGTCATGCACAAACCTGGAGTCCCTGCACACCCCTGGATTTAGAAGAAATACAGTCACTGTGTTGGCTACATGTACACCCTCCTCAGGGACACAACCCCAAAGCTCCAGAAGCTGGGGCCACAGGTTCCATTCGTCTGCACCTCACCCTGCGTGAAGTTGAAGGTCCCGGCTCCATCGATCGTGCCAGCTGCGAAACTGTAGCCCAGCGCTGGCTTACATGTCTTTGCCTAAAGGAAAGATGTTTAGAACAAAAAAGGAAAAAAAGAAACAGAAGTTAAGCTTCCACTAATGATGAGATCAGCCCTGAGCTTTCCCCTTGTGGCATGGTCAGTGTGACTCAGCCACACCTACCGTGTGTGTGGAATTGAGTGGGACGGTGACGTCTGTCATATTCACCCACTGATGAGCCGAAGTCAGTGGTCCAGTTAACTCCTGGGAAGCCAAGGCATACAGCGCCTAGAAAACCCACAGAAGCTCACTGTTAAGAGCTAAAATGAACATTACCACTGCATCCAGTAAGTACCAATTGGGAGAAGGATCTCTCAGACAAGTTTTATTCTGCTGGGTCCATAGCAGTAGCCACTACACAGGTGATCTCTTTGTTGCTTCCCTGAAGATGGAAGGTCCTGAATGGCTGACCTGTGCTTTTCCCCACAAAGATGAAACCCTAGTGATCCAGGATGTGGCACAAAAGGCCCCAATCTCACCTGCCAACCTGTTGCTTCCCTGAAGATGGAAGGCCCTGGATGGCTGACCTGTGCTTTTCCCCACAAAGATGAAACCGGAGTGATCCAGGATGTGGCACAAAAGGCCCCAATCTCACTGGAAAGACGTCAAGAAAATGTAAGATTAGAAGTGGGAGGGCTGTGTGACCTTCTCCGCCAGAACAAGAGTGTATCCTCGGGCATCCTCAGTCCTTGAGTCCTCTGGCAGGGCTGGCTTGAGGAGATGCCAAAGGGCGGCTTGAAAACTTCAGGCCCCGCTTCATCTGCATAAACTCCCCTAACACCCCGCTGCTCTTTGATGATCTTTTTTTCCCCCAATGTGGTCAACTGATGCTTTTTCAATCTTATGGGAAAAGTGAGTCAACCCATGATTAGAAATGTTTTTACTGATCTGTATACAACAGAGGCAAATCCTGCTTCAGTACAAGTCCCTTTGCCGGAGACCTAACTCCTTTCCACACCATCCCAGTTTCAACTGCCCCCTGGGAGCTCTGAGCTGAGTGACCTCAGATGCAGCTGCCTCCCTGGTGAGGAGGCCGTCGTGCCTTGCTGAGAAGAGAATGCAGAATGTGGGACAAATCCCTCTGACTCCCACGCCCAGAAAGATAACAAAATTTCTGACACCTAATTGTGTCACAGATGCACTCCCTAAATAGAATCTGTTAATTTAGAGCAATCCACTGATAATACCACAGTAATTAAAAAGAAACTGCAGCAATTAGGGCTGGCTAGTGTCTGGTGTTTTTAAAGGTGCTTTTGATCTTCCTTAATTGCTGCTGAAACATTTTAGAATCAGTGGAACAAAATATTTACTTACACTCACACGCACACGCGTGTGTGTACAACAAAGGTATAAGTAAGCTATGAAAAGGAAGAGACTTAACTCTCGTTATCAGAGATATCTCAACTCTCCAGCTCATCTTTTAGGTCAGAAATCTCTCCATTGAAGCTGACACATAATATGGGACTAAATGAAAGATCAAATTTAGGAGAGGGAAGAGAGTAGAGTAAATCATAGTAATCTCGCTGTAGACCAGGTTCTCTCATCAAAAAAAAAAAAAAAGTTAAGGTAACATGGATGATCTTTGCCATATCAAAGAAGACTAGAACTCATTTGAATCCAAATTGTGAGAGCAGTGAGTTGTGGGGCTCAGCTTTGCATTGTCACCGAAGGAAAAGTTAAGAAATGCATCACCATTAAACCAGTATTATGTGAAATGTTGAAGGGTATCCTTTAAGAAGAGGAGGAAGAGGAGGAGGAGGAGGAGGAGGAGGAGGAGGAGGAGGAGGAGGAGGAAGAAGAAGAAGAAAAAGAAGAAGAAGAAGAAGAAGAAGAAGAAGAAGAAGAAGAAGAAGAAGAAGAAGAAGAAGAAGAAGAAGAAGAAGAAGAAGAAGAAGAAGAAGAAGAAGAAGAAGAAGAAGAAGAAGAAGAAGAAGAAGAAGAAGAAGAAGAAGAAGAAGAAGAAGAAGAAGAAGAAGAAGAAGAAGAAGAAGAAGAAGAAGAAGAAGAAGAAGAAGAAGAAGAAGAAGAAGAAGAAGAAGAAGAAGAAGAAGAAGAAGAAGAAGAAGAAGAAGAAGAAGAAGAAGAAGAAGAAGAAGAAGAAGAAGAAGAAGAAGAAGAAGAAGAAGAAGAAGAAGAAGAAGAAGAAGAAGAAGAAGAAGAAGAAGAAGAAGAAGAAGAAGAAGAAGAAGAAGAAGAAGAAGAAGAAGAAGAAGAAGAAGAAGAAGAAGAAGAAGAAGAAGAAGAAGAAGAAGAAGAAGAAGAAGAAGAAGAAGAAGAAGAAGAAGAAGAAGAAGAAGAAGAAGAAGAAGAAGAAGAAGAAGAAGAAGAAGAAGAAGAAGAAGAAGAAGAAGAAGAAGAAGAAGAAGAAGAAGAAGAAGAAGAAGAAGAAAAGATTAAAATATGAACAATAAAGTAAATATATACCTATCAACAATTGAATCTAAAAATCAAAATAAACAAAGAAGAAATCTAACGAACAAAATAAACTGATGAGTAAAATAGCATCGGAGGCATGGAAACATGGAACACACTGATGAATCCCAGAGGGAAGGAGGGGGGTAAGAAGAGACTAACCAAAGATTGTATGTGCATATATGCATCATCTATGGACACAGACAATAGGTTGGTGAAGGCCTGGGGCGGGGCGGGACCCAGGAAACCAGGTGGAGGGAGACAATGAGAGGAAAAGGAGGACATCTGTAATACTTTCAACAATAAAGATTTTTAAAAAGAAATGGCTAAGTGATTTGGCAGGCAAGTCCCTGAGAGATTTCTGAGCCTCTGAAACCGTCTGGTCATATATATACCACGCTAATTGAAAACCTTACAATCTAGCTATCATCCCACTGCCCGAAGCAAGCCCTCTGGCAGAGGTAAAATGTACTTCCTGTAAGTGGTTGGACCAGGCAGTCAGAGAGAGATTCCTGTGTGGCTTGTGCAAGAAACCTTCCCAACTGCCCTGCAGCAGCAACCAGCTTTCCAGACCCCTCGGTGCTGCTTGAGCTCTTCTTGTCTTCATAGTTAGGGACTTCCTAAAGAACAATGTCAGCAGATCTTCAAGAACAATCCTATATAATCCTATATAATAAAAAGCTAATAAGCTAATTAGACCGAACAGCAGAACGACAGTTCGGATGACCTTTCAGACAACCCGTCTGGACGACCTTCCGGACAAAGTCGGGCTGCAAGGGCCGAGCCCCTTGCACAGATTTCATGCGTCAGGCCTCTAGTTTTAAATGAAGATCAAAGAGTGGGTGCATGGCTTACCGTAGCTCTCTGGTATAGGGTCCGTCCTATAATTTGTGTGCTGTCGAGCATATCCTGTCCAGGTCCCCTAGCCATGCACATGGTAGCCTTGAACAAAATGAGACAGATGTGTTCTTGGTGAATAAAGCAAGTATTTTATACCTGGCTGGTATGGCTCAGTGGTTGAGCATCAACCTATGAGCCGGGAGGTCACGGTTCAATTCCAAGTCAGGGTATATGCCGGAGTAGCGGACTTGATCCCCAGTAGGGGATGTGTAGGAGGCAGCTGATCAATGATTTTCTGTCATCATTGATGTTTCTATCTCTCTCTCCCTCTCCCTTCCTCTCTGAAATCAATAAAAATGTATTTTTTAAA